AGCATTGAGAGGGTCTTGGTGGCTGCCAGAGAACCAGAGGTAGAGTCAGGGCCACACACACTTATGCTGGGCAAATGGCCATTGTTGAGCCTGTATGTGAGGGGCGTAGCAAAAAACTGCTGATTTGACTGCCACATTCGTAGGGGGAAGGTTTTTATTGTGAATGAGAGAGAGAACAAAACAGAGGCATCTGGAAGGATCCAGAGCAAAGAGAAAAGAAAGCAGACTGGACATGGCCAGGACTGGGAAATCGGGAGAGGCGGGAATAGTGGAGACGGCAAGAGACAGAGAGGCTCTGGGGGTGGACAGTCGTGTTTATCGTAAGGGGGGGGGCGGTGCTGATTCTGGGGGAGCCTGGAGACCAGCACGGCCTTTGATACGCTTGCTCATAGGCACCGCTTCAGCCAGAAGTAAGAGAAATGACTCCTTTGGGCCAGTGTTTGGGAACAGTTTCTCAATCTCCTGAAGAATGCTGGCCTTTGTCTAATGGCCAGAAATCCTTCCACAGTCCAGCTTGAGCGCCTTTCTAGACGTATGGACACCATGAGACCTAACAGAGCTGGCCAGCCTTTTATTTTAATTTTGAGGCAGGGACTTACTCTGTAGCCAAGGCAAGCCTTGAATTTGTGATCCTCCTGTCTCAGCCACTTGAGTAGCTGGGATTGTAGGTCTGCACCCCCGAGCCTGGCCTGGGCCCACCATCTGAGCGGTGGTTCTGTTCCTCAGGGAGACTGAAACTCTTAGTGTGCAGCCCGTTCTGGAATGCCCTGCTCAAGAGAGAGTGCTTGGAATTTTCCTTTTTCCTGGCTTCCTATGGCTTACCGTGCTAACAGCAGCAGCAGTGTGTGGCCAGCCCTGATGGGGTGGGGTGGTGTAAATGCTGTGGCCCCTTAGCAGCCAGACATGCTGTGAGGTACAAGTCCACATTCCGTGCTGATGTTTCTCAGTGACTTGGGTTGTATGCTGCACACCACGTGAAACTGAGGCGTCTACACCTCTACCCCCAGCACTCACACGTGGCTGCACCGGAACACCTAGATCCGAGCCGTTCCAGTGTCGTGGATCAGACTGGGCATGCCGGGGCCCTTTGCTTCCATTATCTCAGGAGGGAAAGGAAACTGAGAGGCAAGCTGGCGCGGCTTTCTTCAGACGTTAGCCTTCCCTAAGAATAATTGGGCTGGGTGTGGTATAAAAGCCTTTGAATGCGGTGCTCAGGAAGCAGAGGCAGGCAGAGCCCTGCAGTTCAGGGCTAGCCTGCTCCACACAGTGAGTTCCAGGCCTTAGCCAGAACCACAAAACGAGATCCTGTTTCACTACAGAGCGAGTTCCAGGACAGCCAGGGCTACACAGAGAAACTCTGTCTCAAAAAGACAAAACAAAGACCACACAACTATGGTTTGTCTGCAGTAGTCCCCCACAGAGAACAGCTTGTTCAGATCTCCAGCGGCATATGATTGGGCTGTGCTGAAATATTTCTCTTTGGTTTTGTCCTGAAGCTTTTGGTACATAGATTTGAACAGAGCTAGCCATTTTCTGGAGTTTGAGCACAGCATCTGTGCCCCATAGGCTGCCACACACCTGGCCTCTCAGGTGAGAAATGGTGACCTCATAGTTGGCCTTGCTAACAGTTAAAACCGCTTTTCTTGTTTATTTACCCCAAACTATAGAATGTGTTTATGCATCTAGTTCTCCCAGTGAGCCTGGAGTGTTTCCTGGGCTAATGGGCCGGCTGAGAGCCCAGACTCATCCGACAGGCAGCAGAGTCCCAGCCCTGCCTGGGCGGGGTCAGAAGGTCGCAGTGCTTGCTGCATTAAGAAGAATTAATGCTGCAAAACATGCAGAGACATGGGTGGATTTCCCCTGGGCACTAAATCCAGTTAAAGGATGTGCGTATTCAGGCCAAGTGAGAGAAAGGCCCACTCTGCAAGTCCCGTGGTCCCCAGCATCCCCGAGAGCAGGAGGGTCACCCTAGCGTGTTTCCTGCTTCGGGTGACGATGTGCCCATGGTTTGTCCTTGCGTGTCGGTGTCCAGCAGCACAGTCTGTCAGTTCTCTGGGTGCTCTGCTCTGTCCTTCCCTTCCCTCCCCTTTCCTCCCCTCCCCTCCCCTCCTCTCCTCCTCCCTTCCTCTCTTTCCCTCCCTCTCCTCTCCTCACTTCTCTCTTCCCCTCCCCTCCC